AAACAGCTGATAAAAACATCACAATAATCCACAGCACTCCAGTCCATCAGTGAACATCTGGAGAAGACACACGCTGAGACAAACCCATCATTCAAATGTTTTTAACTAAAACACCATAGAGTCCATAATCCATAATAACGCTTCCTCCAGTGAGTCAGTGTTCTGGTGTGAATCAGGAGAGAAATCTGCACAGATCAAGCAGCGTTTAAACAGCTCTAAACTAATATGTGGCTGGATTTTGATGTGCGAGAGACAACACCAGAACACTTTTTCACTGGAGGAAGAGTTATTATGGATTATGGACTCTATGGTGTTTTAGTTAAAAACATCTTAATGCTGGATGTGTTTCAGCTTTTGTCTTCTCCAGATGTTCACTGATGGACTGGAGTGCTGTGGATTATTGTGATGTTTTTATCAGCTGTTTGGACTCTCATTGTGACGGCACCCATTCACTTGCAGTGAGACACTGATGCAATGCTACATTTCTCCAAACCTGATGAAGAAACAAACTCATCCTGATCTCGGACGACCTGAGGGTGAACACATTTTCAGCACATTTTATGCTGAACTATTCCCTGAACAGAGTGTTTACCGTGTTTCTCTGCTGTTCAGGTGATGGACGCTCTTGTGAAAGACAAGCGAGCCGTGTTCATCATGCCGCCCAGACAAGCCATCGCTCACTATCTGCTCAAACATTGGATCGGCTGTAACGCAAACCTCTGAACCGGGGTTAAAATGCTTCTTTCGTGGTCCACATGAAAAGACGTGTTAATCAGATTGATTTAATGTGTGAAGCTTGTTCGATTATAGAAGATAATGCAGTAATATAACTCCAATTAGATTACTTTGACATGCTCATCTCTGACTAATAACAGAACAATATCTCCTGATTGTAACGTTGAAACAAGTATTTTCTCTGAATCTGCATTGAAATTATAATATGCATTGTGAAAAAGGCTAAACAAATAAACCTGAATTGAATGTGTTGTTTTCTCTAGTCGACACAATCTTTAAACAGTGTAATTCAGTGTATTTCTGATGGTTTATCGTATATATGCTGCTTCTTACATGATTTGGAACACCATGACTGATATTACACAATACAGTAACTGTGAAATACAACATGGCATATTTCATCAGGCTTTGTCAACGTTTTCGTCATTTACAGCCTGAGATCATGTTTCTATAGTTCTTTACACGCAGTGGTTCTCAACCTTTTGTTCTTTGACTTTTCTGGAGTTTATGGATTTTTTTAACAATAATTTACTCGGTTACTACCCAATAAAAGATTATAGATCTTGCACGCTAGAAAAAAATGCATATTCTTCAATATAAAAATGCTCAAGATTTGCTTTTTGAGGTTAAGAAATCACACTTTCAAAATTAGTCTTCCTCAAATATCCAGGTTTCCCAAGAATGTTAGTAATCATGGTTCTTCAGAGTCGAAAAATGAATTAAAATCAGAAATATCTTGATTTCGTTTGTTGTTTTGTCTTATTTTAACCCTCGTGATGCATTCAAAATCTGTTTACTATTTTGCATTCTGGGTCCGTTTCATTACATTTTTTAATGCAGTAAAGTTACCATATTACAGCATTTACCCATTTTCTTAAAACATTGAAAAATTATTTGACATCAAATTACGCATGACCCACATAAAAAAAAAACTGATGCAAATTATTATTTTTCAATATTGATACATTTTATTTGAATATATCATTGTATAGCATACAGTATAATCTGAAAATGTTCAGTATTATCCCCTTTGAAATGAATGGAATTTAAATCAATTCCTTTGAATTTATGACTTTATATATTTATAACTAAAATTTACCAAACTTCCATATTTATACCAAAACAACACAAATATGACTGAAACGTTTTTAAACTAAATAAATTAACTGCATAAACTTTTACTTTCAAGAGATGCATAAACATTAAAAAAAAATGTTTTTTAAGTTTTTTAGTAAGGGAACAAAACTTTTGCAAATGCTTTAAGATCCTTAAAATACACTTTTTTCAGATTTTTTTATTTTTATGCATTTGGGTCATTTTTGACCCGGGTGTGTATGAAGTCCAATTTGGGGTCAAAAATACTTTTTTGTAAAATTATATTACTGTAAATACACATTTTTCATCTTTTCCCATATCTCAATACTTTGGGACTGAACTCAGTTGATGAACATGAATATGTACGGCTATTGACGAACCATTGCAGCGTGAAAAATTAATCACTTTTTCATCTGAAAGTTAAAGTTCACGCAAGTAAAATGAATTTATATTGTTAGAAAAAAACTCAGAGTAATATTTAGAAATAAATATGTAGGTTTCATAAATCTGGACTGTTTTTGAGCAATCGGGAGTTATACATTAAAAATAATTTAATTAAATTCCATTCATTCCAGTGGGGTTAATACTTGCAATTATCAGATTTCATGTTCTCACAAATTTCATACAATGATATATTCAAATTAAATTTCTCATCGACATTGAAAAAATATATATTTATATTTGCCGTCACAGTTAAATGTTCAAATGTAATTTGAAATCTCAAAGAATTTCTCATTTTTTTAATTAATAAAAAAAGAGGTAAATGCAGTAATAACATGGTAACATTCAAAACTTAGGAATAGACTCTCTATCAAGCACGACAGAGACTTCTGTCTGTGATCACGCACCACAAGCGCTTGAATCTCTCGGCTTCGCTCTCAGCAGGTTTCCTCTGGTTTAAAGTGTCCGCCGGTTCCTCCAGACGCTCGGCAGATCCTCGGAGGAGATCAGAGGAGCAGCTTTGAGGGGTTTGAGGGCGTCAGACGGGAACCAGGGTTTACATTGGAGGCAGGACTTTGTGTGTGACGAGAACCACGTCTCTGACCTCCAGCGGAGGACTGAAATACACACTCATCCTCACAACACAGGACAGCATGACCCTGGAGCACAAAGCCAGTCATAAGGGTCAATTTTTCGAAATTGAGATTTATGCATCAGCTGAAATCTGAATAAATAAGCTTTCCATTATAAGGGAAACAGGTCAATTTATCTCAAAGGGAATCATTTAAGATTTTAGTTAACCCTCGCATTGAGTCCCTCAATGAGGTTAACATTTATATTAAATGCACCAGTTCAGCTAGGATCTGGAGGTACTTGCGTGCGTTGCCTGTATATGGGGGGGGTTCCCTTTTGTTGTGGTCCTTGCAGAAAAAGGGGTTTCCCTGGTTGCTGATTGGCTGGAAGTTCAGTCTTGGGAAGCCAGTGGTTGGGCATTGGCTGACGACGCAGAGTTGTGGTTGAAGTTGAAGTTGAAGTTTTAGACGGCACTCGAGGTCGGACTCGGAGACGCGGCGTTAGGCAACTTAACTCAGAACACGAAACTCTCAACGGAAAATAAAAGAAACTAAAGTAAAGAAATAGAAGTAAAGTTTGACGAGACTAGGTGGCGTTTCTCCTCATGGTTTTGGAGGAGCTGGCGTGTATGCCAGAGCACGCTCAAAGAGCGACGACTGAAAAGCACGGCTAGAAGCCATGACCAAAAAAGCTAAAGAGCTAAAAAGGCGATGACTAAAAAGCCACATGCTAAAAGCGATGATTTGATGGTGTCCTGAGTATTTAAACTGGGCTCTTGGACACCTCCCAAATGGTGCTTTGACCAATTAGACACTGTCTAAGCTCGGGGTGTTGTATATTTCTCCTCCCAATTCATAAATCAAATGTTATCTCATCAGTCACATGGTCCGAGTTTTCCCGCTCTTGCAGAGTATACTTTTGGACATGATTTCTATAACAAGAATATGATACATTTGACAAAGATTTGATTGGAAGAAAGGTTTCAAATAAGAATTTTCACACCAGCATGAATATAATCCTGTAAACTATTCAATAGTTATTCAAGAAGACATGCACAATAAATGATTAAAACGTGATAGTCTAATGTGTGGGTTACATACATGATATGGAGTTATGCATAGAAATGATTAGTTGCTCAGGTCCTTTTAGTGTCATTTAGATGCATATTTACATGGAAAGGTAGTTTCTGTAGCATTCTGTGGATGAGGACATGTTCTGTGCAGACCAGAGGTTAAAAGGTCTGTAAGGAATCTCAGTCTGTTCTCTGTCGTCGAGGTGGTGATTGGAAGAAAGGTTTCAAATAAGAATTTTCACACCAGCATGAATATAATCCTGTAAACTATTCAATAGTTATTCAAAAAGACATGCACAATAAATGATTAAAACGTGATAGTCTAATGTGTGGGTTACACACATGATATGGAGTTATGCATAGAAATGATTAGTTGCTCACAAGTCCTTTTAGTGTCATTTAGATGCATATTTACATGGAAATGC